TTCATAACTTATTTCCGTTTAACTTTCTGTGTGAGCTACAGTAGCCGCCGCTGCTTCGGACTGACCACACACGTACGCCGCTCTTTCTCGTACGTTGATGTCGTCTGTGAGTTGTCTTGAAATTCTCTGCTCTTTTTCCATTCTTTCTACGGCTTCTACTCGTCACCTTGCTGACAGTTTGCGCTGCCTCAAAAAACGACCCTTCTCAGTTGCTCCGGATTGGCCTGCTGATTACTCAAGCCAACGTGCGATTGTGCACTACTGTATGTTTTGATATTAAGCAATTTAGCTCCAACTTCTCGTAACCATTCTCTCTGTCTGGTTTTGAAAACCCGTACTTTCTATGATCATCAGCTCTCGCAGTCGAATCTCATAGCTCGCAAAACTTCTCACGTCAGCAAGCGTTGATACTCCCCACTAATATGATCTGAAAATTTTAGAGTTTCTACACTTGCCTGATTTGCCACTTCAGGTACTTTATAAATGCCTCATCGAAAAATGTGTGCCTTGTAAGTAGCACATCGAAACATACCTAGACCCATGAACGTTCACCAGCGATCCTCCTTGTAAACACTCTCCTACTTCTCTCGCTCGTGCACTCCTTTAAATTTCGCGTACTTCTGTGAATTTGGCTTGAAATCGTTACTACTAAGAATACTGCATTACGTGAATGGGTTTACTGTTCGCCCTCGTGCCGCTAACATCTCAGACGCATGAGAAACGGAAGAGTGGGAAGCAGGAGTGGGAAGGTGTACTTCTTTCTCAGGCGTAATTCAGGCCAGTATAGGCATATGTCCCACTGTTCAAGCACCCGGTTTTAAAGCTGCCCCCATCCCGTCGTGCTACAATCACTCATCCCGAAATGTTGTTCCAAGCTTATTTACTTGCTTTCATGTAAAAAATCCAAATGAGGTTATGTGAGTACTTAATACGGCATCAATAAGATGGATTTTTAGTATTTATCGTAGTTAATTAATAACTGAGCAAGCACTTTACATTCCAGACCAAAAAAATG